TTTTTTTTTTTTTTTTAATTCATTTACGTAAAAGATGCTTGAATCAGTTTTTATGTATTTAAGATTAATTATTTTTGAGTAATTTGAAAGACACATTTTATATTGATTTTTTATTTTTATATATCTAAATGAATATATAAAAGAAAATAACTCTTTTTTTTTTTAAAATGTCTTCTCATTTAATTTAATGTTTAAAGTTAAAATTTTTAATTTAAAATTTTAAAATTTTAACTATTAAATCATCCCTCAATGTATATTTTATATTGACTTAGTACATATAAAATTAATTTTTTTAAATACTAACTTTAATATTTAAACTATGAAACTCATCAATAAAAATATACTTTTTATCAGTGATTTTTTTTTTTTTTTTGGCTGTCTTTTTATCAATGCATTCAATCATTCGGTTACATGGGGAAAGTATGTTGGGTAGAAAATAAGATCTTTTGTCTACAGCTTCTTATGGTCCCATCGATTTTTATTTTCCATCCACGTTACACACATTCATATATACATAATATGGACAACATAGAGAGATGTACATTTCTTTTAAACGTTTTGTTTTTTTTCCTGCTAAATTATTGGTATCATAGGGATGAATAATAAATGTCTTTGGTTTTTTTTTTCGGTCACTTGTGAAACGTGGGCACACATTGGAATTTCATTTGTCCTCTTTTGATATTCCAAGCTGGAGTTTCTTTTTGTTATTATTATTATTATTATTATTATTATTATTATTATTATTAAGTTTGGGGTTTGAGTTTTTTTTTTATTATTATATTTATATATAAGGACATGATTTTTGTATAACATTTTTGTCATATATTTTTGTACAATTTGACGTTTCATTAAAATGATTGATTTTTTTAATTTATGTGTAATTCATGTAAGAATTGTGATATTAAATGTATCAACTCATTTAATGACATGTAAAAATTATATGAAAAAATGGTATAAAAAATTATTCCTATAATACCATTCTTATATATATATATTTGTAGTACTAGTTCAAACTTATAATTTTTTATGTGACATTACTATTAGAGTAATTCAGTTATATTTTTTATTGACTAGCAAAACAATACTTATATAAATTTAAAATAAAATATAAATGGAATTTGCTCCATAAAATCTTTCTCAGTAACTTAATCTAATTACATTAATTCCTATCCCAATCCAATCCATTTTGTTCTACATGCATCCATTGGGGAGTTAAACTAAAGATCCTTGGACGGCTCTACGTTTAACTTAGCTCTTATCCAATTAAGAGATCTCAGCATTATTAAATCCACAACTTTACCTGGAGTGGCAAACCCTTCTTTGACTATCAATTAGTTTCTCCGGAACTAGATAGACCACATATATGGCTGTAAACCACACCCCACTCCAGCTTGCATCCTTGAAATTGCCATTGGAGACCATACCCATGTGCTTATCATGTGTGTTTCCACTTCATTCTGCAAGGCAGTTTGCAAGCCCCACCGAGCACAGCACGACTGCCCAACAACCTTGATCACATCACATGTGAAGACAAGGTGATTGATTAATGCTTTCTTTGCTGTCCACAAAATATGCTTGAGAAATCAGAGAACCCGTTCCATTTACTCCCCTTTTCATTGAGTTTTCTCCAGTTGGAATTTGAATTATTCTGTAAGACATTCCACACAAATGTAGAGACTTTCAAGGGCACCTTGTTGTTCCACACAGCATGTTGTATTGATTTCAGCTCTGCTCCCTTGTGTCACTGATTAATAGATTGTATACTGAGCCTGCCAAGTAGCTTGTTTATTAAAGTAGCTCATGTACTTGCAGGGACAGAGTTTAATTAAAATACTGGAGAAGGCAAGAAAATTTTGGAAGGCCAAATTGTTAAAAAATAAATAAATTTTTAAAGACAAAATAATAAGAAAAACCTATTATGTTTTAAAGATTTTTAAAATTCTTGGCTCCTCAAAAATACCTTATATCCTATTATTTAGTAGCGTAAGTGGTAAGATAGTATAATTTATTCGCATATTTAAAAAGATATTTTAGTAATTAAAAACTTAAGTTTTCATGTTTAAAATTTTAAATTTAAATCTTAAGAAGATTTTTAAAA